GATTGTTACGACATTGAGGTACAATGGTGTACATTGTGAAAGTATGGATGTGATTCGTGAATTGAGGTTACCAAATATACGATAGAGTGCTACAGCATCGAAAAATTCGAAGATTTCACACCATAATTCAGCGGAGAAACTTTCGATTGTACTCGGCATGATACAACTGTTTTTAGACGTCAAAGGCAATATTTCAGAGGGAGAATGTATATAAAAGTGTAACACGCTGTAATTTCGTAATAAAACATAACCTGTGCCAATAACATGACTTCACATTTGCATCCCTATTGCCTTTAGCACCAGATCAGCTGAATATTATGCTGCTTAATGAAAAATGATCATCAGATAAATCTATACGAGTGGCACTATATTAATGATGGTCATTTCGAGAAGATATATCACGCTTTCCTCATATCAAATGATGCCGACAGAGAAACTCCATGTTGCGTGTGTTATATTAAAGCATGACTTGATGCCTGGAGTCAACAGAAAATTCAACAAAACACTATCGTTTGTTAGTAAAAATTAAAAAAACACGTAGAAAAAGTAAGAATCAGGCAAGATGTGCTCATTTTTATATTGATTATCGAGTAGAAGTCTAATGCGATTTCAAATATAAATGAAGATTTCAAAAATAATTCTTAGCGTAAAATTAGCTCTAAAGAAAGACATTATTTGACTTGTACATACTTCGCGGTTCTCGTCCTTAGAATTAAGTTTTGAAGTGATATACAAGCTACAGAATCGTCACTTATATTCGAACACGTACTATGGGCAGCTCATGATAGGCTCGAGCATCACCATCTTCAATTAAATTCACACTCGAAAACGAAGCAAAATTAGACGATATGAATAGTACCGGATAGTTTTCGAAGACGAATTTCGGTTCTAACTCAAGGTTTTAGTACGGTTTGAAGCACATCGGATATTTATTTTTTCGATACAAATATATTCTCTTCGTTTCCATCGAAACAAATGATTTAATGCTTTTTGCTGAAAATCCATTTTGAATTCTTTCCAATTAGTGTTTGAAAAAATTCTTTCTTGTAATTCGTTGATGGGAGAACATAAAGAACGAAGCCAAGCACTTGTGGAAGGTATGAAAGTAGATAAGAATCAAGCAATAAATGTTGTTGCCAAATATTTAATTGTGTACATGCAAAGTAAAAGGTTAGAATAGTTTGAGGTAAAGCAGAGAGAACAATGATCATTGGTGTTACATAAAGTTCTTTTTGTGTTTCAAATTGTTTCTTTAACAGTTCAGTGAAAGTCGTTTGACGTCCGACTATTACTTTCGCTCGACTACGAGCAGCGAAAACAATTAAGAGTGAGTTTCTGAGAAAGTCAGACGGTCGTGAGACAATGATGTCTCAGAATTTGCTGATTTTTATATATGTGGGAGGGGATATTGATGTAAGTATCTCATAAAAATTTTAGCCCTAACGGACCACTTCTTCTTGGTCAAAAGCTCCGTACAAGGCCGAATTTTTCAAAAATTCTAGAGGGTGACTTTTTTCAGTAAAATTGACTTTTTGCCATCATTTTATAACTTTTTCATCTTTTGCTTTTTCAACCATAACTACCTAGATGTAGTGCCTCTGTGTACAAAATTTCAGGGCTTCCTCACGATTCCTCGAGGCGCTGGAAGCTTCGAAAGTTGAATTTTCGGCCAAAATCTCAACTTGTCGTGTTCGAAGCGGCAACGGCCGTTTGTCTTGATATTTATATCAGTGATATAGTATACCATGGAGTACTACCCATAAAATTTTCAGCCTTGGCCTACGACCAAAAGTGCCATTTTTCACCAAAACTCATCAGCCTCTATTTAGCACGAATTTTTTCAATCTCAAGGTGTTTTTCCATAATCAAATCAGCTAGTATCGAGTATGAAACACCTTTATATATGCATAACATCTATTTTTCCTAGCTGCTATCTAGTGGCGTAACCAGAAATTTATGGGTGGGTAGGCGGCGCCCCAGTGACTTTCAAAATACTATATGGTATAAATATTGTAATGTAGCTTGTATCTTTAACCCATAACGAAGAGACGATAGCNTATTATCGTGACAAATCGTCAATCAAATAATCTTTGTCTTTTGTACGGTGACGAAAATGGAACATTTGTCAATCAAACAATCATCCCTGTTGGCTACCTTTCATATCCAGTATCAGTCACTGCCGATCATATTGACAACGATGGTTTGCTTGACATAGTCTACGTCGACAATGGATATAGTACTATAGAAATTATGTCCAAAACGTGTTCAGAATTGAATAGAATATAGAATTTCTCTTTGTACATATACATATCGCATTTTTAATCTTGATTATAAATCGATTAAGAATACAGAAGAACAAAAAAAAACATTTCTACTCTAAATAAAAGCATATTAATCATCATTTTCTTGATCTAGAAGATCGGTAATAATCTGTTCGGAATACTGTCGGCGTGTTTGAATAATCAAATTTCAACCATTGAATTAAAATTGATTTCCATCCATTTAATAAAAATGAAATCGTTTTCGAATTTGAATCATAAATAAGTTGATCGATCAAGAAATATTTGTTGATCAAATATAAAACGAAGTTTTGTTAAAATATTTCCAAAGAAAATCCTATTCATTTATTCGATCCGATCAATTCAATTTTCGTTATTGAAGTTGTGCAAACGAGAAACAAACCTTTCTATCGAATCTTTTTACTCATTTGTTTGATAACCAATCAAATTTTTGACGAAGATCGCTTTTTCCACTGACTATTTGTGATTTATTTCATCATTCTTGATGTTAATAATTCACACACCACTTCGAAATAATCGTAAACCAGGATTTTAATTCCATAATTATCGAAAAATGTAATTATTAATTACATCAGACAAAGCATTGTTGATGAAAAATGAAAATTCCTAAAAGAACAAATCGATCAAAGATTTCGTTAGACAAAGAAAAATTACAAACGCTGTTAAATAGGTCGATACTTTCTCTTCAAGATCGTGATCTCGTCGATCACAGGGCAGTTTGCGTTGTCCGTATGCTTTTACACGTAATGATACGACATCAGGCATTTCGTTTAAGATCAAATTTTCAAAAATTGGATCGGAAATGATTATTCTCTAGAGATGTATAAAATCTATTTACCTCTACCTTGTAAATTCGTGTAATTTTAAATCAAGATCAGCGTGACCGGTATCAGTAACTATTTATCTTCCGTTCTCTCAAAATACGACCGCAGTACATATCGATCGACGAAATTTCCATCCATAAAGTTCTTCTTTCAAATAAAAATGCCTTTTTTTGTGTTTCTTGTTTAACGCACAGCTCACCTGCAAATGATTTGTTCAAGATTTTTTAAACTTTTCTCTGCTTTTTCGATTGATTTTCTCCATTTCTTCATACATTTTTCTTTCTTTTCAATCATCAATATTCTGTTTGTGTTCATCAATTGCTTCTCAAATGAATTTCTTCGCTTCATTCACATATCCAAGATGATATGAACAAATAGATAATCGATAGAATCCTTTCGCATTTTTGTTTCACTGCAAGTTTAACGATTGTTTGGCATCTTCGTATCCATTGTAGAAGTCTTTGTCTTGAAATGGAATCTGGCATGTCAGCGCTGATTTTAAGAAAAGGAGGAAGAAGGAGGATTTTAAAAAAACTTTTGGAGGATTTGCTGCAAAATCGGAGGAGAAATGCAGGAGTTATTTTTTTATTCGAAGAAAACGGCTTATAAGAAGTTTTTGCTTGGAAATATTTGGTTTAGATAAGATCTAATAAGGAATTTATCAGTTTCACAATGTTTATTCACATCTTTCAAGGAAATAATAATAACAAAAACCTATCACATAGAGAAAAACGATGATAAATGAAAATTGAAACAGCTAGAAAATCCCAACAACAATCTTAGTTGATTGTTTTAATTGCAATGAATGTTCTTATCAAAACATTTGATCATCTTCATTTTTTGACTGTTCAGAAACTAATTTACTTTTCTTTTTCAATTGTTCATTTTCAGCACGAGCTCGTTTTTGTTGAATAATAGATATTTTTTCGATGATTTTTGTCATTTCTTCATTGATTGATTTGATTTTATCCATACCACTTTTGTTCAAGGCATAAGCAGCTTTTACATCTGTAAAATCACCTTTTGTCAATGAATTTTCTAATCGTTGATTTCCTTCTACAATTAAAACCTGAGCTACTTTTTGTTCAGCTTGAAGCTTTGATATATTATCATAAGTTCTTTTTCCTTCTCCATCGATTTAACTTTTTCAGCATAAATTTTTCCGTGATATTCAAATTCTTTTTCTTGAGCAGCAATTAATGCTTTAATTTTTACTAATTCTTTTTTGTATAACGATTCTGATTTCTGAAACGCACGAATCATGTCACTACTAATCTCCATCTGAAAAAAAGACTATCCTTCATTAAAAAAATCATCGATATACTTACAAGTAACGCTCATCCTTTGGATTCGCTGACCCTTTTCTGAAAGACTTTTCCGAATGCTGAACACATTCAGAGACTTCGAAAGAGAGAAAACGCACTGCGATTGCTACTAGTGCTCAACTGAATCATGGCACTATGTCACACACTAGAATGAATAGGATGCAAAAGTCTTTTTAGGAATCA